ATTGACCACCAGCAGCCCCCAGTAGCTCCCCCTGACCACCAGTAGCCCCCATTGACCACCAGCAGCCCCCAGTAGCCCCCATTGACCACCAGCAGCCCCCATTGACCACCAGCAGCCCCCAGCAGCCCCCATTGACCACCAGCAGCCCCCACTGCCCACCAGTAGCTCCCATTGACCACCAGCAGCCCCCAGTAGCTCCCCCTGACCACCAGTAGCCTCCATTGACCACCAGTAGCCCCCATTGACCACCAGTAGACCCCAGTGGCCACCAGTAGCCCCCATTGACCACCAGTAGCCCCCAGCAGCCCCCACTGCCCACCAGCAGCCCCCATTGACCACCAGCAGCCCCCAGTATCCCCCCTGCCCACAGCGCCCCCCAGCAGCCCCCCCACGCACCGATCTGCCCGTAGGCCATGCTGATGAGGCGCTCGTTCACCAGTTTGTCGGTGCGGGGGTTGCGCGGCTGCCGCTTCATGATGTCACTCTCAGCTGCTTCGTAGGCCAGGGAGATGGCGGGGACCTGGGGGGGGGCGTCCTGTGTCACACCTTGGAACCCCATGGGACACGCTGTGGGTCCATCTATGGGGCAGCTATGGAGCAGCTATGGGGCATAGCTGGTGCCCAGGTTGATGCAGAGGAGGGCGATGGGGCCAAGGGGCAGCCGTGGGGCATCTATGGGGCTGCTACAGGGCAGCCACAGGGCAGCTTTGAGGCAGCTATGGTGCATCTATGGGGCAGCCATGGAGCAGCCATGGGGCAGCCTTGGGGGAGCATCTATGGGGCAGACTGTGGGGCAGCTGACCATGTTGGTGCCCAGGTTGATGCAGAGGAGGGCAATGGTGCCAAGGGGCAGCCATGGGGCATCTATGGGGCAGCTATGGGGCAGCTATGGGACATCTATGGGGCAGCCATGGGGCAGGCTGTGGGGCAGCTGGCCATGTTGGTGCCCAGGTCGATGCAGAGGATGGCGTTGTTGCCAAGTGGCAGCCACAGGGCATCTATGGGGTATCTATGGGGCATCCATGGGGCAGCTTTGAGGCAGCTATGGGACACCTATGGGGCAGCCATGGGGCAGGCTGTGGGGCAGCTGGCCATGTCGGTGCCCAGGTCAATGCAGAGGAGGGCGATGGTGCCAAGGGGCAGCCGTGGGGCATCTATGGGGCAGCCATGGGGCAGCTACGGGGCATCTATGGGGCAGCCATGGGGTAGCTTTGAGGCAGCTATGGGACATCTATGGGGCAGCCATGGGGCAGACTGTGGGGCAGCTGGCCATGTCAGTGCCCAGGTCAATGCAGAGGATGACAATGGTGCCAAGTGGCAGCCATGGGGCATCTATGGGGCGGCCATGGGGGAGCATCTATGGGGCAGGCTGTGGGGCAGCTGACCATGTCGGTGCCCAGGTCGATGCAGAGGATGGTGACGGTGCCGAGGGGCAGCGGGATGTTGGCGATGATGAAGAGGAGGAAGGGCGTGATCTCGGGGATGTTGCTGGTCAGCGTGTAGGCGATGGACTTCTTCAGGTTGTCGAAGATGAGGCGCCCTGCGGGGACACGGGGGGGGCAGATCGGTGTCACCCTGCTGCCACCACAGTGGCCCTTGGGGACAAGGGGGGGAGGGGGATGGCGGTCACCTTCCTCGACGCCGGTGACGATGGAGGCGAAGTTGTCGTCCAGCAGGATCATGTCTGCTGCCTGCTTGGACACATCTGAGCCCGCGATGCCCATGGCGATGCCGATGTCTGCCTTCTTCAGCGCCGGGGAATCGTTCACGCCGTCCCCCGTCACCGCCACGATGGCACCCTGAGGGGTCAGGGGTCAGGGGGTCATGGGGTGAGGGGTCTGTGGGCAAGGGAAGGGGTCGTGGGGTCACAGGATGAGGGGACAGGGGGTCATGGCGAATGGGGTCACAGGGCCAGGGGTCATGGGGTCAC